TTATTTTGGACATAGTTCGAATGGTGATTAATCAAGATTAATTCATTTTTAAGCTGTGATTAATCTGATTAAAATTTTTAATCGTTTGACAGCCCTAACTAAAATAGATTTATACTGTGCAATTTTCCAAACTCACATTGGTTTCTCATACAGCATCTCTGTAAAGTATGTGTTTTCACCGGTATTCACTCTCTGTCCTAAACGGCTAAACGGCACAAACAACAATGAATACTTACAGGTTGTGTACCCGAATCTCCTGCTGGTCCAAACAAAGTAGGAACAGTATCGTTCTTCAGTGCCCTACGTTGTGCATATCTGGCATGAATCGCTGAAAGGTTTGGGAAGCTTTGTTTTCGTGAAAGGCTGGCAGAGGGTGCGGCCATAGCTCTGGGCGTGGCTACTGGGTATCCCTACGTCACGATACCCAGGAAGAAAATGAGAAATCTCCAACGAGGAGTTGTGGGGAGGTATTTTCTGTGTTAGAGTTGTACTCCCTGCAGGGTGTACTTTGAGGGATTTTGACTCTGCAGACCGTTTACATGCATAAAAACCTTCATAACACACAAGGGGACGGGTAATAACCGGGAAAGCATGAAAAGGGACCTTTAATAACAAATACAAATATAAGCATAAAAGTGGCCCTTTAAATAGTGCCTTCCTGTTGACACTCTAACATGAAAAGCTGTAGATATGTAATGCGTCTGTTCTTTTCTTCCCAGTGATGTTTTAAGTCCAAACATAATTATGTTGTGTCTGAAAACCTTTCCAAATAAAACGTAATTGAGAAAGAAGATGACAGTAATTCTTATGAACTGGATCTTTGAGGTAAGGCCGGTTATAAGGCTGGAAATGATGCTAGCTTTTTGCTTTGCAGCCCTGTCTGAAAAAGTAATTGATGGTGCCATAGTCTTTGCTCCTCTCCTCTCCTCCATGTTTCATCTCCCTCTCCAGGCCCAGTCGGTGCTACACTGATTTCAGAGCAGCCTTGTCGTCAGTCCTCAAAGGGAGATGGATGGACGGCCTTAACTTAGAGCCCGGCTAACTGCGTCCCCTTCCTCCTTAGCCGGAGAGGGGCGGCTGCTGGAGGGAGAATCGATTTCCATCTCTCCTCTGTCTGATGGCAGTCGGATAGATATCAAGGGTGATTCTGCAGGGGTAAAGGAACTGATAGGAGCAAGGATTGGGGAGCGGGACTCCGGCTAAATCAGATCAAGGCCAAGAGAGCAGAGCAAAAAAAGAGATTGAGAGATCATAGGAGGAAACTTTGTGGATGGAAAGTGTGAAACTGTTCAGAAGTGCAGAGTCATAGGGCAAGAAACTGAAGAGCGAGGCGAGGGGGTGGGGTAAGCTCACAGGCAAGTGAGGAAAGACGAGGGTGGATGAAAGCTTTGAGAGAGTAGGGAAGTGATAGAGAGGCTGTTTTCATGGGTGCTCGGCCGGGACGGTGTGACAAATGGGCCGATAGTGCCACCAACTTCTCCTGAGTCACCGCGCTGTCCACCAGCCTCAGTGGGCTCGTGGCCAGGCTGTAACTCTGTCAAGGTGATGAAAACCGTCTACCTCACCTCCCATAATGCTCTTTAGCATATCACACACCTGCTGCCCTTCTCCTCGCTTCACACGTGTATCTACTTACTCTAATGTGTGTGTATTTCAGTTATTTCTTTGTCAGAAAAGTCGATGATTATGACAACACTGCTGAAAAATGTATTTTCTGCAATGTCAAAAGACTACAGCGGGAGTTCAGTTAAATGATGTGAAGAAGCGGAGTGTAACTAAGGGGATAGCCTTGTGATTATGCATGGCCCCCTTTGCATGTATTAGAAAACAAAGATCACCCCCCAAACACACACACACACACATACACACAGAGAAAGACACACACACAGCAAATATTAGTATGTATGAGACTTTCCTCTAAGCCCGCTCTGATCAAAGCACAGTTTGGAAGCACAAAGTCTTATTGAGACGATGCGTTGTGGGAGGGACACTTTGATGAAAGAGATGAGGTCAGAGAAATAACTGGGTTCAATTATGTGCATGTGTTAGTGTGTGGCTGTGTGTGTGTGTGTGGGTCTATTACCCTGTGGGCTCAACTTTCTCTCAGGCAAGCTAACTTTGTTGTTGTTCGGCAGGTCCAACAAACACACCTGCACTGAGTGAGGTGATGCAGCTGCTCTGGCATGAAAGTGTGCATTTTCACCTCCTGAGACCACATTTGATTGCAAACACATGCACAGAGAGCACTTTTCAGCCTTCAGTATCTTAGGCTTTGCACAGACAATCCCAACAGGTTTGTGTTTCTCAAGTTTCACTTCTTTACTTTGACGTGTTTGACATCAAAAGAAAATCTTCAAGGCATTGTTTCAGTGCTTTCAGGACAAACCGTACAAAAGTATTTTCCTTTTAATGTGATTAAACACATGCAGCCATGATACACAGGCTTGAACTATGTGTTTGTTACATCTGGATTTTGAGCAATCGGTCATCCAGGTCAAACCTTTTGACAAAAAATATCAATCAGCCATTGGCTCAGTCTTTTAACAGGTCATGCAAACCTTGAACAGCTTTCATCAACCTTAATAGACAGTACAATCTCTTTTAATAAAACCTGGTATTCTTTTCCGCCGTATTTCCAAAGCTGTTGATATAAGGTTAATGTCACGATTGATTTGATTGGCTTAGCAGAAGAGTTGATAAGGAAAAATCACAAACCAAGCATTATACTTAAAAAAACGGACACACTTTGCCAGTGGAGGCATATTAAACATAATAAATAAACACATTTGGTCTGCAGTATACATTTAATTCGCTTTCTTTGAATATTGATGACCATTAAGCAACACACCTGATGTGAATGACAAATAGTAAAGCCCTACATCATGTATTCCATTTTAGTTCTCCTACAAATAAAATATTAATTGCAGCCTTAACCCATTTATCACTTTTTACTGCCAGGACTGCTATTACGTCTCTGGTCTGTACAATTGCTAAATTAGTTAATCACACACACAAAATGTGAGCTAGCAATTCTGCCTGCGGGAAAATAAAGCCATTACTGCCTGTGTGTGTGAGTGGCTGTGTGCCCTCTAAATTAGTGGGCTGTTCACAGTGGACAACTCAGTTACTGTGACAAACTGCAGCTGAAGTTGTGCTGGTTTCAGTGGTGGTGTGTTGTGTGTGTCTGTCTGTCTGTCTGCTGTCTGCCTTGTCTGTCTAAATGATACGACTAAAGACAGATCATCCCATGCGAAGACGAGTTT